ATAGGCCAAACCCAGTGGTGTATTTAGGTTTTGTGCTGCCCTAGGCAGGACGGTGCTCGGGGAAAGCCGCATTTTGACTGACAGACGCTCACTCACTAACAGACGCACACTCACTGACAGACGCAAACACTCACTGATAGATGCATACACTCATTGACAGACACACACTCTCATATACACTGACAAACAATGACATACACACTGATATAGAGGACAAAAAAACACAATAAACTCACAATGACGAAAGCATATGTGACTCACTGTGCTACCTGGAGATATAAAGTAGTCTAGTAATGATTAAATATATACACATGATTACCTATAATGAAAGACATCAAGCTAATCTCCATACAATAAGGACTAGGGAGTAAAAATAATAATAAAGAAATTCAAAAATGCGCCAAAAGACCTAAATAGTGTATAGGTATTAGAAAAAATATTTGCAATATGAGATGTCTATCTAGAGCTTTATTTAATCTGGCTCTCTATGCATCCAAAGCAAACTCTTTGTTAAACCAGTACACTACACAGTATATATTTAATCATTACTAGACTACTTTATATCTCCAGGTAGCACAGTGAGTCACATATGCTTTTGTCATTGTGAGTTTATTGTGTTTTTTCGTCCTCTATATATTACTATTGGGGTTAGGCCCCTTTGAGATCCCTGGAATCTCTTCTTTGGTACATTAGATTGTGGGCTATGACTGGACCATAGACATTTGTCATTGGTACCCAGAGATAATCTACTGTCTTCTTTTTACCCCATACACACTGATAGGCAGACATACACTTACTCGGACACACACTCACTGACAGATGCACATTCTCACTGACAGACGCACATTCTCACTGACAGATGCACGCACTCACTGACAGATGAACGCACTCACTGACAGACGCACACACTGACTGACAGACGCACGCACTGACAGACGCACGCACTGACTGACAGACACATACACACTGACTGACCGACATACACACATTCACTGACAGACACACACTCACTGACAGACACACACACACACTCACTCAAAATCACTGACACACACATTCACTGAAACACTCACATTCACTGACACACACTCACACACATTCACTGAAACACACACACTCACTCAAATCACTGACACACACATTCACTCACATTCACTGACACACACACTCATTCACATTCACTGACACACACATTCACTTACATTCACTGACACACACATTTCCCAACACTCACAGTTATTATTATTATTTTTGTATTTATTTAAATCCACCCAGCCTCCCTACTTTTGGGATAGCTGGGTGGATTCTTCACCTGGGGTCCAGTGAGGCTGCTGGGTAGGAAGGTGGCCGGACATGCAGGTGGGTGGGCACTCTAAGTTTTCAGCAAGGGAGCACTTTCCCCTGAGCTCTGAGAGCTCAGGGAAAAGTGCTCCCTTGCCGCCCGCCCGAGAAACAACCGCCTGCTGCCCTGGGGGAGCCCAAAGGTGGCCAGCCGGCCAGCTCTTGGTCTCCCATAAAATGAGGCAAACAAGGTATTGACCTGGGCATTTGGGGTGGGCTTTTTTTGCCGCCCCCTGGAGATTACCGCAGTAGACACATCCCTGGCCAAACCTTCTAAAATCAAATAATTCCTTCTCGGCTTCCTTGTTAGGGAAAGGTTTCTGCCACGACAAGTCATGGTCTTTCTAAATACAGTTTTATTATCACAACCATATTCCAGCATTTGTTCAGAGTAGTAGGCAATGCACACACAAATGAGTCTTTATTGCATAGGTGAGAAATGTTAACATTTGTACATACACTACAATAAGTCAGTAATCTCTTGGGCTTGGGCTTGTTGCTGAAAATGCTCAGAAATACAAATTGATTTTTTTATTAGGGGAAAAAATAGCATATTTTCCATCATTCTCTAGTACAAAGAGATTATGTTAAAGTGCATGAATTTTTCACTTTTGCATAGTGGCCGCATTGAGCTATAATTGACTTCAATGGGATCTGCTTGTATGTTGTTACAATTTTAAAATCAGTACTCAGTGTATGCCAATGAAGAAAAGCTTGGAATTGTCCACATAATTATTGTAAAGATGGTGGAAAAAAGTTGTTTGTCTAATTAGAACAGCAATATACATAACCCAACCTAGCATAGTTACGATGATTTTATATTATTATTATTATTACTATTATTTAAAAAGCGTCAAAAAAATTCACAGCACTGTACAATTGGTGCAATATATATGTCTGCTTGCTATCTTCCTTTTTGACAGACACATAGTAGTGTTACTAGGATGAATTGTTACAAATCACAATAAATATGAATAGACATGTGACAGTTATTCTTTAAGAAGACCAGATGTGCTTTGAGAAAGTAACATGAATTCATTACAAATATCTTGAAATTGTGATCCCTGCGGGACAAATCCCAGTTAAGGTTCAACATAGCCTGTATGCCCACTAGGCCCATCCATCACAAAGTCCTGGGCCAGATGCAGACGTACTCATATAGTGAGACATATGTTATGGTGAGCTGTACATCTGTTTTTTTAAATTACTTAACTGCTTCTAGTAATCGCTTCTCTTTTGTTTATCCTGATGGCTTATTATATACATATTTTAATATATATCTTTCAAATATCCAAGGAAATTCTGACATTCTTTTCAATCCGCTCCAATACAAAAATGGAAATTTTTGTAATGGATACTTCTTTACCTAAAAATATTATTATATATATATTTCATTTCTGCTTCTGTTCTTTACAGTGACAATTTGACAGCTGCTATTTGAAGCAGTGTCAAATATTGTAAAAGTCAATAACTATGGTTCCTCCACACACATTTCTAGAATGATATAGAACTTTGTATCATAGACTTGAGCAAGTAATCTGCCAGCTGTGACCACTCCAGTAACACCCTGATGCAATGCCAATTTGTCCTTCCTTTCGCCTATTTCGGTCTCTGTGGAGGTTTTGTTTTTAAAGTTTGCGTTAGCTAGTTATCTTTTTGAAGAAAAAAATACTAAATTAAAGACTATGCATATTACAAGATAAAATAAGTGCTTTTTGTACCTCGTTTTTTAAAATAGTTTTTTTTTTTAAGGGTAACTCCAACCCATTTATATTTTTTTATGATTTTTTTTTTTTTTTACTTTAACATGCACAGAGCACATATATAACAATTTCAAACAAGAGGGTACATAATTTAAAAAAGAAGGGTTAGCATGTGATGCATCATCATACAGGAATATATTACGTCTAGATTATTCATGAAGGTGTAACAGCTTGTAGTTATATATTTAGCTTAATCGTTCTTTGCTTTATTGACACATGCTCTTAATCAAGTTACAGAACAAGGGAGAACATACAGGAAAATAGAGGCGTTAGTGGGTAATTTGATTAATATGGGCGGATGTAGGGAAAAGCGAGATGGTCTTAGAGAGGACTCAGTTATGAAGTCCCAGGATGTGCTATGTGCCATATGTTTCCGTAGTAATCAGCGCCATTCTGTATTGTTTTGATGAATTGTTATATTACATTATTTAAGGTGCAACCAGGGTTGGCTGCATTTGCTAATATTTTTGATTGCCTTTATGATTAATTGCTGTGTGTTTTTTTTTTTTTGTTATTTTAAAAAACAACTTCTAATGCCCAATTCTCAAGCCTTTGATGTGACCTTTTAACCAGCTTATAAGGGATGTCGTGCTCTGAGCTGGAGAGAGGAATGAGGGAGGGAAGGTAACAGGGAACATCATTAGAAAAAAATAATGGTGGGCATAGGAAGGGGGGAAGGGCTTCCGTGAAGAAGGAAGGGAGGCAGAACAAACGCTTCCCCTTGCAGGGGAGAAGTTAATTATGTATGTTGCCAGTGTGCAATGTGGCTTGATTGACTTATTTTTTACACAGATTTGTCTTTCTGTGTTCCGGACTGCCAAAGTTACATGTGCAACAGTTGTAACCAATCTCTGTCACAAAAGTGCTCATATTTTAAGCTGGAACGCTGCACATACAGACTCCTACCACTGTTATAAGAGAAGAATCCTGAAGAATCCACGCACAGAGTCCGGACACAGGTCAGTTCAGGAAGAAAAGGTCTTTATTCTCACTGATCGGGTCTCAGCTGAACTCATGTTCAAAATGTCTGAGCACATTGAGTAGAGGCTTTTTATAAGCTATGCATCCCCCATCTCAAAATACAGTTCTCAGCTGAACTCATGTTCAAAATGTCTGAGCACATTGAGTAGAGGCTTTTTATAAGCTATGCATCCCCCATCTGTACTCTTACACCAATCATTAAACAGTATTTACAGCATTACCTTATATGGATAGGCAGTATGGCAATAGGAGAATGGAAAGTGGTTTTTCAAATCCAGTACATGCTCAGTACATTGATGACAGTTACACGTAACTAACTGATACCTGTACTTGTATGTGCCACATGGAGATTTTAGGCCTACTAAATTTTGGGCCTAGCTGAAATCCCATCCCATCACATCACCACAACCACTTCTAAAAACAGAAATGGTCATGGTGGTTAGAGTAACCCATTAAGTAAAGCTTAGATTGTATTCTTCTCTGAGTACATATCTATGCTGACTAGTACTGGATGTCCATTGTGCTCCTCATTATTGTCCCCAAACCCTTCAGTCTGGTCACGGAAGAGACAGTGTTTGTTAGATTTATCATGGAAGAGACAGTGTTAATAATTATTTGACAGAGGGAAGGGGGCAAACCCTTCATCAGCCACCCTCAATGAAAATATGGACAACATGGTATTTAGTATGTTCCTTAGGCCAAGTAAGATTAGTAGACATGTGCAAATCATTTCTTTCCGAATGCAAATTTCGGAAATTCAGACATTCGGATGCTTCCTAATGTCCAAAGTGCAGAAGTGCCAAATTTCCGAAATGCCAAATGTTGGAATGCCGAACTGAACCAAATTGCCGAATTTCTGAATTGCCGAAGTGCCGAATTTTGGAAGTGTCAAAGTGCTTTGGATTTCTGAAAAGTGGCAAAACAGGAGAGGGTTGGTGTTAGGGGTTGGGGTAGAGTTAGTGGTTGAGGTAAAGGTAGGGTTAGGTTTAGGGGTAGGGGTAGGGTTAAGGGTTGGGGTAGGGTAATGGTTGGGGTAGGGGTGGGGGTAGGGTTAGTGGTTGAAATAGGGTTATGGGTAACCCTAACCCTAACCCTACCACTAACCCTACCCCTAACCCTACCCTAACCCTACACCTAACCCTATCCCTAACTCTACCCCTAATTTAACCCTACTCTAACCCTACCCCCACTCTAATCCTACCCCTAATCTAACCCTACCCATAACCCTACCTCTAACCCTACCCCTAACCCTACTCCTAAACCAACCCTAAACCAACCCTAACCCTACCCCTAACCCTAAACCAACCATAATCCTACCCTAACCCTAACCCTACACTTACCCGAAGACCTGAACCGAACCGAATATTTGTCCAATGTACATCCCTAAAGATTAGCAATTTGTTTAAATAGTTGTTTGGATCATTACAAAAAATGATAGAAGAAAAATAAATAACTAATACATATTGCAAATAACAACAAGGCTCTGAGGTTACATGTATCCAAGGCAAAATACAGTTCTGGCTTGGCGAGAACATACATATCAGTAGAAGGGCAGTAGTGTACAAACTGGGGGCAGGTATGGCAATCTGCCCTGAGTGACAGGCAGAAGGGTATTGATAGGGTGGCAGGGCAGAAAGGAAAGCATTCTGTAATTCTTATTCTAGTGTTGAGAAGAGGAACACGCAGATAATCTTCATATTCATGTTCCTTTGTATGTTCTGTCCATTCTGTGCGCCCGGAACAGCCCTGACAGACTGGGCAGAGGAAAATTAAGATCCTCTCTGTCATGTTCCTGCTCTCCATTCAACAATCTGGGACCAGGTAAATGGGAGGGGGACACGAGGAGGCCATTTGCAACACACAAGAGGGTGACTACAGCCACTATGTCTGATGGGAAATGAATTGTTTTACCTATGCAATACTTAGTGAATATTCCCCTAGACATACAGAGCTAAAAAGAAATATATATATTAACCTATGAGAGTATTGCATAACGAGATGTGGACTTAATAACATATATTATCCCGTATCTACAAATATCGGCACAGGCCCTCTTTGGATGGTTTTGTGGATGAAAGAGGCCAAAGGAAATAGAGGTGAAGAAATAATTAAAGGTATGATTAGTACATCTGGATATACCTTGGCTAACACTTTCACCTGTAATATTCCCTTCGATAGCTCAGCTGGTAGAGCGGAGGACTGTAGTAGGTATGCGATAGCAATCCTTAGGTCGCTGGTTCAATTCCGGCTCGAAGGACAGGGTGTTGTTTTTTATGAGGAAAGGGATTTAGGGGTGATTATTTCCGATGACTTAAAGGTAGGCAGACAATGTAATAGGGCAGCAGGAAATGCTAGCAGAATGCTTGGTTGTATAGGGAGAGGTATTAGCAGTAGAAAGAGGGAAGTGCTCATGCCATTGTACAGAACACTGGTGAGACCTCACTTGGAGTATTGTACACAGTACTGGAGACCGTATCTTCAGAAGGATATTGATACCTTAGAGAGGGTTCAGAGAAGGGCTACTAAACTGGTTCATGGATTGCGGGATAAAACTTACCAGGAAAGGTTAAAGGATCTTTAGGAGGAAAGACGAGACAGGGGGGATATGATAGAAACATTTAAATATATAAAGGGAATCAACACAGTAAAGGAGGAGACTATATTTAAAAGAAGAAAAACTACCACAACAAGAGGACATAGTCTTAAATTAGAGGGACAAAGGTTTAAAAATAATATCAGGAAGTATTACTTTACTGAGAGGGTAGTGGATGCATGGAATAGCCTTCCAGCTGAAGTGGTAGAGGTTAACACAGTAAAGGAGTTTAAGCATGCGTGGGATAGGCATAATGCTATCCTAACTTTAAGATAAGGCCAGGGACTAATGAAAGTATTTAGAAAATTGGGCAGACTAGATGGGCCGAATGGTTCTTATCTGCCGTCACATTCTATGTTTCTATGTTAGTACTAGAAAATGGGACTTGTCATATATACAGGTAAATAAAGGCTAAAAAACGCATTTGTCTTAGTTAAGTCTTTCCACGTCTGCAGGGGTTAAAAGCAAGAATTTCCTCTCCTGTTTGCAATCTGTGGTAAGCACTTTACACTATCTTTTATAAACATCCTGCCCTTGGAAAAAATAAAGTTTTTTCTAACCATCTGAAAATTTTAATTGGTTTCCTAAATCAAAAACTGTCATGTACTTCAGTTAACAGAAGACTTGCTAGACATGCGCAGTAGATTAATTGTAATACATAATGTTATATGAGAAAATGATACTGCTTACACGGAAAAGGCTATGATTGGTTGATTCTGTCTTCTGTTGAATACACCACTATGAAAAATGTGTTCCATATATACCAATATATATATATTTCTTTTATTCCACCTGTGTTTGTTCATGTCAGTTCCATTTGCCAGATTACATCTTAATTTCCCTATTTTCATGCCATCTTCACCTTTCACACTGCACTATGTCTCTTTCTCAGATGCAATGTTTTTTTCAGGCTCCCATATTTCCATGTCTCTTTTAGCAGTCTGGTAGGGCCTTCACCATGCCATTTCAGTGTGCACAATCATTGCATGTCCCTTTGCACATCACTCTCAGGCATCAAGTCTATTCAAGTTTCCCTTACACCCGTCCCATGTCTCTTTTTCAGGCCACCCATCTCTGCGAGCCTAGCTCATTGCCATCAGTAAAAACCAAAGGAAAAAAGTTACCTGTGCTCTCTCCTTAATCCCTATGTATGTTTAAACAAATTGAAGTCATTTAGTCCCTGCAATGGCCATTAGAGGGAATGCCCGCCTGCCAAAGTCAAGGCAGACCCCCCCCAAGCGTGTCCTACACTGACCCTTCACCATGCTTTCTTGAGCTTCTGGCACAAATATCTCTATTGAGACAGAGAGGGGTATTTTTATATACACCCTTACATACAGTGTTTCTCCGAAAATAAGACCGGGTCTTATATTAATTTTAGTCACAAAAAACACACTAGAGCTTATTTTCAGGGTAGGGCTTAGAGCCAGTCTGTCAGCCGGTGTCCGCGCTGTGTAACCCCCCAGAGACCCTCACCTCCCCCTCCCTGTAATATTCCCCCTCCCTCCCTGTAATACTCTCCCCCCCCTCCCTCCCTGTAATATTCTCCCCCCTCCTCCTCCCTGTAATACTCCCTCCCTCCCCTCCCTCCCTGTAATATTATCCCCACCTCCCTCCTGTAATATTATCCCTCCCTCCCTGTAATATTCTCCCTCCTCCTGTATATATCCCCTCCTGTAATACCCTCCTGTAATACTCTCCCCCTCCCTCCCTGTAATATTATCCACCCCTCCTCCCTGTAATACTCTCCCCTCCCTCCTGTAATATTATCCCCTCCCTCCTGTAGCTCTCCCTCCCTCCCTGTAATATTATCCCCCCTCCCTCCCTCCCTCCCCTCCCTCCTGTAATGCTATCCCCCTTCCTCTCCCTCCTGTAATATTCTCCCTGTAATATATCCCCCTCCCTCCCTGTAATATTATCCCCTCCCTCCCTCCCTGTAATATTCTCCCCCCTCCCTCACTGTCCGAAGACGTTCAATTTCCCTAAAGATGTCTTCATTAGAGAATTCGTCAAAAATCTCAATCAATTTTGGGGTATAATTACGAATATCTTTCTCTGTTGCCACAACCAGAGAGTTTGGCTGAATAACAGCAAACATTGAAAGGATTTTTTCAATTGCCTGGGAACGAATTTCCAACTCGTGATGAAAACGATCAAGGCACTCAAACATAGTCCTTTTCATTTCCTCTGGCAATGTGAGACCAGCGTCCTTTGCCTTCTCTCCTGGCATTGTTTTACAGAGCTTTACTCTCCCTCTTCTTTCCATTGAAATGTCCATTTCTTTACACATAGTAGTTGCATAACAAATGGCCTTCTCCACAATTTCACTGCGCTGATGTGCTAGAAACGCTTTCAAACCTTGTAGTTTCACAATGCACTTTTCAAGAGTGAGTCCCACAGTTTGGAAATACTTCTGTGTTATATTAACTTCTTCTAGAACGTCACACCAGAAAGAAAGGTAACACAAAAAAGAAAAATCACATATGGCAGACAGCAACATCTGAGCCGATCCTCTCGTGTCCACATTTTCTTTGGGATTACATAACTTTTCAAGGGCTGAAGTCAGTTTTTCAAAATTTGCCCTCACTGGCTTCACAGCATCATAATGAGCGCTCCATCTTGTTTGGGAAAGTCTTTTCACTGTCACACCTACATTTTCCATCAGCAATTCCCAACGATGTGTAGAAACCGAAAAAAAGGAATACACTCTCTCCAATGTTCCAAAAAAGGTCACACAGGAAACAACACTTCCAAATGAGTGCACCCCACATAGGTTCAGGGAATGGTTAGCACATGGCATAAACAAAGCCTTGGGATTAATCTCTTTTATTTTTGCCTGAACACCACCATGAATCCCTGCCATAGTTGCAGCATTATCATATCCTTGACCACGGCAAAGGCTTATGTCTAGTCCATCTTCCTCCAGATGTTGCAGGATATTTTCTGTGAGTTCAGCAGCAGTCTTTTCAGCAACAGGAAAGAACCCCAAGAATGATTCCTTTACTTCAACATGGTCCCCCTCAAATATGAACATATTTGATCACTTCACACATCTGATCATTGTGGGACACATCAGGGGTGCTGTCAAAAAGAATCCCAAAGTACTTTGCTTTCTTGATATCAGCCACTATTTTGTCCTTCACATGATTTCCCAAAAGACAAATTAATTCGTTCTGAATTTTTGGAGAGAAATAGGAAGTCATTCTCTTTCCAGACCCAAAGACACCTTTGGGTTCAGCTTCCACCACAATTGAAACCCAGTAACAAAACTGGATGTCCCTGTTACTTTGTCATCAACAGCAAAAAGTCTGCAGCAAAAACAAAACAAACTTTGTTTTGATGGAGAGTACACCATCCACATTCTAAGAATTTTTTCGCCATTAGGCAGAGCCTTATAGAACCATGCAGTGGTCAACTGTCGACTCTTCCCTTTTGCTTTCTCTCCTTGCCTTTCATCAGGACTGAATGGCCCATCTCTATTTTGGAAAGGTTCACTTCCCCTCTTAATAAGGTCCACTCTTAAAACATCTGGAACTGGAACTGGCCAAGCAGCAACATCAGAATAAACTGACAGTCGAACAGTCTCCTCTTCTTCTTCATCATCATCATCATCATCAGAGTCTTGCTGATGCAGGCTTCTGCTGGCATCGCCTTCATC